AATACCACAGTTATATCCAGACGGGACTCTCTTATAGGTAGCAACATCAGTATAATTCTTAGGATATATATTTGACTCAAAATTGAACTGGATACCACACATTAATATCATAAAAACCAGAATTTGTAAAAAAAGCGAGTTACCTTAATAGTCTGACTGGCAATAACCAAGGAGCTTCAGCAGAAAATATATTAAAAATTTACAGAACATACATAAGACCAGTCGTAGAATATGCCTGTATAACATGGATAAATGTATCAAAACACACATCAACAAACTACAGCAAATACAAAACTATATTTTAACGAAAGCATTTAGAGTCTCACGATCAACATATTCAGTATTTCTACACAATTATTCAAACATGCCAACACTATCAGACAGGCTCCTAGATAACTAGCTTCAATATTACAAGATAATTATTAATAAAAATTTTCAATTCTCCATCACTGAACATGCTCAACCATGGTGGTGTTATAATGTGATGGTCAGTCCCACTATTCATTGATAAAAAAGTAGCCCAAGACTCGGGGATGAGTGGTGTTGACTAGCTACCCTCCTGGTATATCATGGCTAAATTAGGGTTAGCTAGTGTAGATAGTCCTTGAGTAGCTTTACAGGAAATTCAAAACAAATAAACCCTGCTCTTCCATAAATAAATTTTAGCACAAAGCTTTTGTTTAAGCCATTTGATGTATAGAAATATGCATTAAAGTTTTTAAATATTAATGAAATTTTATGTACTCCTTAGTTCAGTAGGCTCTTGTATAATTAATGGCAGAAGTGTTTAAGTATTACATTGTTGATCTGATTCTTTCATAATTTAATGACAAGAAGTGTTTAAGTACTCTTTAGTTCATCAGGCACTTGCATATTTAATCATAAGGATCTAAATGTTTCACACCATATTTAAGGAAAGGGAACTAGGATAAAAACTTTATTGTTGATTGTTGTTCTACTAACTTTATCAAAACTGAGAAACCATTTTCTCTCTCTCTGAATATTTTTCTGGGTGGGAATGAGACTGGAGTTCTTAGGAGTGAAAGAAATTCAGATACTGCACATTAACTCTAGGTTATTTCAGTAATTATAAAATGTACTTATGTTTACTCTGCAATTTGTAAATGATTACTTCGATCTCAAATTTAATTTTTTTGTTTTACAATGTGTAAAAATTGTGCCTGTTAACATGAATATGTTGGAATATACTATGAACCTCAGGAGTATTAAAAGATAACCTCGGTTTGTCTTTTAACAAAGATACTTTATTTAAAAGCTCATATGAAGTCCAACGTCAAGATTCACAGAAGTAAAATATAAATAGTTAAATATTTCCAAACTCTAGAGAGATAGATTCGGGCCTATGACCCTGAGCAAAAAACTATATATCAGTATATATGTGTATACATACATACAAACAGGGTGTCTGGACATTGTGGTAACAAATGTATTAATATTTATGACTAAATATGTTAAAACTCCTGTCATGACATTCCATGTATGCTATAATGTACCTTGTGTTAAGACGATAGAATTTTTAGTAGCTATTGTTCAAGACTCCCGTCTGTGGCTTCAAATCTGTACCCCTG